CCCCGCCCCGCCCACGCACCCGGGGGGCTCAACGCGCTCATGTGCGTTTCCAAAACGCCGTGTCACCAGCAAAGTCTGTCCTTTCTCATTCTTTAAAGGTCGCCTTCGTTGCGACCCATGTCTTATGGGAACAGCAGAAAAATACTGCATGCTGCAGGTCTTTGAAAAACAGACCATCTCATGTTTAACTTCCCTGACGCAGTTAACGCTTTTACTAAAAGCAGAACTGCTGTTTTATTCACGTTGCCAGATATGGACTTAATTGTTCAATCAAGAATTGCTAGACCTTGTTGTAAAAGGGGATCTCTGGAATATTGCATAATGGAGAGATCACTTCTATTTTGAGATACCATTTTGCTGCTCTAAACACTTTTTTTCTTCTGTACTGATACTCAGTAGTGCTTAATATATATCATAAACAGCCGAGTAGTTCCCTGTCTGCAGTTAAGTCTGTAAATCAAGCACATTTCAACCAGTTTCAGAAATCTGAATGCCAGGACTATGCTCATGGAGATACTCTGTCCGATGTCCACGATGGTGCAAGGTGATATGAAATCTTTGCTGTCTTGAAGTAGTCGGCCGAAATCTTCCTCATCAGTGTACTGTGAATCATCACGAGTAAAAAAACGGGGTGTTCTCAAAGTGGTTTCAGAAAATATTGTAGAGGATATGGATATAAAGGTGTTTGTGGACAGGCAGCTTTACTGTTGTTCTTTTTCTTTAGAGGATAATCATGTTTTCCTTCTAGAATGCTTGAAATTCTAATTTCAAGAACAATTTGTTAGAACTTTCACATTTTTTAGGTAGCATGTGCGACTTGTACGTGGAGGGGTGGGTATGTGTTAGATTCATGTACTTCATGTGACAATTTTACATTAAGTGAGTTAATAAATGATGTCTCACTCTTCTTTTTAGCCATGTACAGCTAATAAGATGAATTTTAATTGTTAACAGATATTTTTCTAGGCCTTATTTGAAATGTCATCTTTTTCTTAGCAAGGAACCAGCAGTTCACCTGATGGTTGCCTCTTGTCAGCCTAATCACGGCCTTTTAATGACATTTCTGAAGTACTTACTTATGGTGGAAGTGTGTATATTTCTATTGGTGTCAATAATATCTGAGAAATACAAACAGGAAGATTTTTTGGGTTTTATGTTACTGTTAACTTGCTCGTGATACTGTGTTTTGTATGTCCGTTCTACTCCTTTTTAAACAATTTGTGTACCTTGAATATGTACGGTGCCTCCTAGAGGAGTTTGGCATCTGCTCTTCTCTAAAATAATCCTATCTGCAAAGTTTCCTGTGGGGTCCTGTATCCTGAGATACAGGTAGTGCCAAGGACTGCATAGACAATTGGTTTGCTATCAGTAAGTGGAAAGCCCAGCACTACCAAGCTAATAGATTGCGAGTGATTTTTGACAACTGTGATCCTGAAACTTCAGTTTGTTTGAGTTACATAAAGATTAGATCACTTCAAGGCCTTTTTCTGTTAGTTTATAGAATTTTTATGCTAAAAAGACCTTTCAAGTCACAGACTGCTCCGTGTTCTGTATAATGTATGATGTGAGGCATTCTAAATTAATGCTGTGTTCTGGTCTGGCTAAGACCAAAGAAAATCAGGAAACAGTTGCCATCTCGACTGAGGTGTTTCAGTTCCAGATAAAGGTATTTTATATATCTTTCTGTTTGCATTGATGACCTTTCCATCTGTTTTGGCTGGAGGGAGAAAACTGTTGAAGCTTGCTTTTTTTTTTTTTAAGGATCAACTAGTTTTCTTTGTCTAAATGGCTGTTTGAATTTGTATTATGAGCCTCATGACATTGGTGATACGAAATTAGAGGCATGTCAGTAATGTTGGCTACAGAACAGCATTTCTAGGGGTCTTCACATGCTTTTGCAAGTTTTTGCTCTTAAACCTTAACGAAATTCAGTCAAAGGGATTTCTGTCACTGTAGCCTGTCACTGGTCTGTCTAGATTTTTCAGAGCTTTTCTAGGCACAAGTTTGTTGATGCAAACAGGCATTCAACACGCACAATACAAAAAGTCTTCCATAGTGCTTGGAAATGCTACTGTGATATTTAGTAGTGGAAGTTTCTGAGTTCACGTAACAGTTTTTGTATTTTAGAAGGTCAGTGTCCTCTATTTCTATGTAGTAGGTTTATACTTAGCTGGATATAGTATGCTTTGGTTTTTCGTGTCTATAATGTGTGCTCTTTGAAGGTATTAGTTACACCTCCTAGAGCTGAAAGTAGCCAGTTTTAAGTTTAATAATACTCAACTTAGTTGAGATACCTAGTAAGGATTATGCCTCACTGGTAGTCAGATCTTTATCACCTCCTACCAGAACTACTTTATAGATCAGCACTTCAGGTTAGAATGTTTCCTAAATGGTGCTGAATTTTGATGGCAGTGGCTGGCTTTACACACACAACCTAGCCACTTTCCCTAAAGTGAGTCACTGTTTACATTACAGTCCAGAGGTAAATTGCAGGAAAAGCTCCGGATGTCTTAACATTAGATATTCAGTGTTTACTCTCTGCTTCCAGAGAATAAATTTATAAACAGTTGTTTTGAAACGGATATGTTTAGCAACCTGACTTTACTGTATGTCATCAAAAACCTGTCAAGAAAAAATTGTTATGTGTGTTATGAGTCCCATTTATGGTCACAGAGATTTCATTCTTGGTTAAGAATTTATTTTGTTAAATTCTGTGGGCTTTTGAATGCCAGAGGGGAAAAACGTAAAGGGTTTTTGCTGTGCCTAGGTGGTACATCACTACTCCAGTAGTGATGAATAGATTTATCTGGCTTTGTAAAAATAACATTTATAGATCTGTCTTTTTTTTTTCTTAGTCTGTAAAAATACTATATATTCTACACTGATGAGAAAAATGGTGAAATGTGATCCTGTTCTAAACTAGCGGATGTCTTCTTCCTTAGGTCTCATTAGGTGGTGTTGATCTTACAGTGCGGGTCCTCACAACAGGTTACTGGCCTACTCAGTCAGCCACACCAAAGTGCAACATCCCTCCAGCTCCCAGACATGCTTTTGAAATATTTAGAAGGTATGTATTAAAACAGATTTTTAGGTAGAAGTTTTAAGAAACTTTCTCAACTTAACTTCCAGATATGTTTTACCATTATAGTTAAGACATGTTAGCATACTACTCCTCAGTTCATGCCAAGATTAGAGAAGCAATAGTCACATTATGAGGCCTGAGATTTTGGGAGCTTTTAAATAGAATTCTAACAAGAGTTAATGTTTTGAAAAAGCAAGTGTTAGAAATTTCTGAAGAGTGTCCTTAATGGCTATGAAAAGTCTGTGTAATCATTTAAAGCAATTTCCTCTTAGATACAAAATGTGAACTATGTATTAAGTGTTTTATTCAATTGTATTACAGATTTTATTTAGCCAAACATAGTGGGCGGCAGCTGACACTCCAGCACCATATGGGTTCTGCAGATCTCAATGCCACTTTCTATGGGCCTGTTAAAAAGGTAAAAGTATCAAGATTATGAAAATACTGTATCTTTTTTTTTTAAGTAAGCAAACACACATTTGTAATAACTTCACAATTTGGCAAAATAAAAGCTTGCCCATTGGTAATATGAGAATAGAATGCGTTCCATTGGCTTTATAGTCTGATTCTTCCTTTGTAGCGTTTTGTTTTGATTTTCCCCCACCCCTAAATCTATGTGAATGCATTACTCAGTGTCATCTCTTTGTTACCTTGTAGAAAAGTAGTAATTTTGGTATTGGAGGGACCTCAATGGTTCGAGTGGGGTTTTTTTTGACTCTGAATCAGTCAAATGTGAAATGAAACTCGTTTCTCTTTAGAGTAATTTTTTTAATGTGAAAGTGTTCAGTCAAGTTTAGCCTGCTTCTCATGCAGAGTGCTAGCAATGTAGACAACTTTTTTTTTTTTTTTCAAACATGAGAATCTTTAGTAGAGTTTATAGAAGTACAATGCTTAATGTTTGTGTATACAGGAAAACAATTTGCTAGTGATTTAGTCCTGTTCTAAAATGCTAAGCTAGAGGTAGTAATGGCATGATGCTTGGGAACATAGATGACAATGCAAAATTAAAAGACTAACGTGCATTTGTGAGGATACTAAAGTTGTATTACTATAGGATGAATATTTTAAAGATAAGAGTAAGAAAACTAGAGGATGGGCAAGTAATGGAACAGGGGCCAGAGAGGTGGTGGAGTCTCCATCCTTGGAGATGCTCAGTAATTGAGTGGACCCATCCCTGAGCATCCTGCTGTAGGTGACCTGGCTTTGAGTGGTGGCAGGACTGTGGGACCCACAGAGGTGCCTCCAGCCTCAGTCCCCCTGTGATTCTAGGACATCTGTTGGAGAGATACTGTGTTTATGCCACCAGGCGTATGCTATTCTACTGCTTGTGTAGGCTGATCTCCTAGGTAATTATTTCATCATACAATTTTCATCTTACCCAGGTAAAATATTTTGCTGTGGAGAATAATCTAATAGTAGTTTTATAATTCTAAAACAGGAAGATGGCTCAGAGGTTGGCGTAGGAGGTGCCCAGGTAACTGGCTCAAATACACGGAAGCACATATTGCAAGTCTCCACTTTCCAGATGACGATATTAATGCTCTTTAACAACAGAGAAAAATACACATTTGAGGTAAGCATTGTGGTTTTCTCCCCTGATTTTAAATAACTGTTTTAGGCACTTTCTTGTCCTCTCCAACAGAGCTTTGAAGATCAGGTGCCTCTCATTCTATTTGAGTGTGGATCAGGCCAGTAAATACAGGAAGCAGATCATTAGCAATGCACTTGGGAAGCAATCCCAGGGGAGGAAATTATTTGGGAACAAAAGTTTTCAGAAATGAAGAGTTGGGAGTGGTTATTCCTAGTCCATAAAGCTAGAGAAAAGATGAAGTTGGAATGCAGCTGGTGGCTCCATTTGCTCATTTTGTCTTTGAGAAACTGGATTTAGAGGCCAGAGTGGAGAATAGTTTGTATCCTGGCTTCTTAAACACTGAAGTGCTTAAATTGGCAGGCTGGAGGGAGCTGTAGGATGAATCAAAGAACTTCATCCCTCCTCTGAGCTGGTGAGCCAGAAAGGACAATGAAGAAGGTCCAGATAGATTCTTAACAAGGAGACTTAGAGGGGCATTGCTGGGAAAGGTTGAAGTGGTCAGCTGATAGACGATGATGAAGAAGCCTTTGGGAGTGGAGGAGGTTCCTGTGCTATGAGATTTGAGCCTTGAATTGTTAATGTCAATTAATAGTTTAAGTTTAGATGTTATCTTCTGTTTGAGAGAGCATTGGCAGCCTCGAAAAGCAGTATGGGTGCAGTTTGAAACAGTGTGGACTTCCAGGTTTTCTCACGTACTTGTGGCTGTGCTATGCATAGTAATCATTTGCCTTTGGATTTTGTTTTCAGCTTATTTGGCGTACTTCTAGCCTGTTAATAAAGAAATTTTTTTAGGTGGTCTAAGTTGAGATTAAGGAAGGCAGGGTTTGATAAGAGACTCTTAATAAACTACTCATAGTTCAAAAAAAGGTTATTTTAGAGCACCAAAAGTCCTGTGTGTTGTGAAATCTATTGCAGGAGCATTACAGCTTTGAGTACTTCCTCTGCAGAATAATTTAGTCTGGGGGAAGGGGGGCCTTAATGGCTCACTTTTTCTTGAAGTTGGTGTTGAAATTGGTCTGGTGGCTACCTTATTCTACAAAATTGTAGACTTTGAGTAGTAGAGCCTCACGCATATATGAATAAATAATACTTGGTAGAGCAGTGAAAAGTACAATTTTTAATACATGCCCTAAATTATACTTTATTTTGCTGAGACCAGATGATAGAGAAATAGGTCCATGTGCTTTTAGGTTGTGTATGTTTTGTTTGTTTCTGGTTTGGGAGTTCTTAAACTCTTACTTTGTCCCACTGTAACTAAAACATGAAGAAGGCATATTTGTTTTGTTTGGTTTCTTTGGTGAAGTATGTGGGAGTTGTCTTTAACTCCAGCCAGGAAAGCTTATGAAAACTTTAGTAGAATGAATTTTATCTTTGTTCATTGATTATTGAATACCATGATTAATTGCTGAGTGCTGGGCAACTGTTATTTCTCTGTCATATCAAATTAGTGCTTTAACTGCAACATAGCATGAGAGATAACTTGTGGTGTGTGCTTGCGTAAGCATAAAACTGTCTGATATACAAGTGTTTCTGCAGATTCCCAGCTGAACAGATTAATTTGAAGTTGCCTTCACAGTTGAACAGACTTTGCTGTTTTGTTTTGCATTCAGTGAGATTATCAGTTGCAAACTTGACAAGATCCTCACAATAATCCTAATAGCCATTAAGCCGTGCGATTGAGAGAAAAATGGGGTAATGATGATGCAAAAATTACACATAAGATGCTCTGGAAACTTAAAGGATAACTGCATAGCAAAATTCCTTCACAAAAAATGTATTAAGTTATTGTATTCCTCTTCAGCAATGTTTCATTTATATATGCAAAAGAACTGGTGGCCACATGGGTCTGGGTTAATGCTACTTGAGTCTATGAGGAAGGATGTTCATGCAAGCCTTCAGAGAATTCAGTTTCTTCTAATCAAGTTTCATCTGATGACCTATTTTGTTGGTAGTTTACAGTACACCTCTGTATTTTAAAAGGTGAAATGCGCAATTTTTTAATGATGACATCAAAAATAAGGGGAAAATTTATGATTCTTTGGGTTTAACAAACAAGAAATACAAATGCGACTGTATGAGAAGTAAAGTTGTTGAATAATTCCACAGAAATGAGAAATTAGAACTTAAAACTGGTTTACCTGTTTTCTCTTTTGCTGACCTCTGCTTTGGAATGTATACAAGTTGAAGTCTGTAAATAAGAATATTTTTTTTGTCACTTCAACAAAATGACATGATGTTTTTCCTTCTAATTTCCTTCTGCACATTTTCCTTCTAATAAAGTTTTTTCCTTGTATAAAATTGGACAGAGGCAGTTCCATACCTAGAATCACCTCTTTTGTAGTCTCCAGACAGAGGTCACCTGGTAATATTTTTTAGAACTAAGATAGTGTGATTGCTACTGCTCTTGTGCACAACTCTAGTATGGTCTTTAAAATAAGGCATTTTTGGAGATAAGGAAAAAACATATGTTTTCCACTGTGTTTTCCACTGTTCCATCAAAGGTCTATACAAAAATGTTTAGAAAAATTATATGCTACAGACTGAAGGAAAAAGAGCACAGGAACATCTGTTATCCCCATCCATTTACATTCATAGCTACACTTTTTTAATCCAGCTTTTGCCGCTTTCTGAGGCAGCATATTGCAGTGCAGTTCTTTCTGTGGTTCTTCTTTTCATGATAGCTTACAAATTTTGAAACCTGAATGGTTTGCATGCGTTAGTGGCTGAATTGGAATGCTACACAGTGAAGTAAAGTCAACACAGAAATACACAGTGGTTAATATAAGGATGCTTAGCATCAAAAAACCCAATTCCGTTTTAGCTCTTCGTTTCACTTCCGTGAAAAGCAGAGTGTGTATGTTTCCTTGTAGAAGTGATTTTGTTTTGAAAGAATTAATTTTAGATGTTGATTAAAAATCAAAGTTTGGGAGCCTGCATGTCACAGGCCTTACATCATTAATAAGCTGGATTGGTTTTTAGGCTCGAGGCTTTACATTTACATAAGTCCTAAAATCTAGGTGTCACCCTCCTTTGGTTTGTTAAATTCATGCTGATCAATCCATTTCAGTAAGACTTCTTGTTTGTGACCGTGTAAAGCATTATAGTGGTTTGGGGATTTTTTTTTTTTTAATACTAGTTTGTGCTGGATCCGGAAGAAATGCATTAAGGTGACAATTGTGTTTTAAATAAAGCAACAGAGAAAGAAATAGTAACTTTCTGTGAGCTGCTTGGAAAGAGGCATTTTGATACTAGCAAACAGTTAAACTACATGGATACATGTCACTTAAAGTACTCTGAATATGTCTGAATGCATCATGCTAAGAATACTTTTACGTTTAAGAATGCATTATTATTTCTCAATCATCCAGAAGCAGTAGTTATCAAAAATTCTGAATCTTTTTGATTTTAGACTTACCTCATTCAAATGAATTTGAACTCTTGTCAAAAACACAATTTCACGTGAAGTTTTCATTGTACATGTAATGTTTGGTCTATAGTTGAAAAGTAACGTATACTCTGTATATTTTGTCTGAGCCTTGACATCACAGAGACCTGGTGGTGAGATGTGCTGTAATTAGTGACAGAGTCCAAGTAGAGACTTTTTTATGGCATGTTGTCAGTGGTGGATGACCACTGCATTTTTTTTCTGGATTGGTTTGTAAAAAATTTGAGTACGGTCAAGAAGTAACATCATTTAGTAGACTTAGATGTACTCTGAGGTTTGATTTTTCTGGTTGCTGTTTGAAGAACTTCTAACAAGTTCTTTACAGATCTTAGCATTTTGGTCACTGGGAGGTGTAACTGCTGCTTTTAGCCTGAGGGTCATCAGTTTGACTTGTGAGCATTAGGCATTTATGCGGACAGTGAAAGAGCTTGTTATTGCTCGTGGAACCTGAGATGGGGAAGCTGGGAAGGTGATGGCTCTTGTGAAGAGTTACATGTCTGTGAGGTTTATTTTTTCTGTTTGGTAGTTTAATCTTTAACTGCTAGAGGTCCCTCAAGAGTCTGAATGGGAATGTGAAATCAGGAATGTCTGAAGTTTCCTCAAACTAGAAAAAAGAAGTAAGTAGAGATAAGGCTAAAATGAACTTGTAATGAAAGGGAGCTCAGCAAACAAGTTATATTTTGAGGAAGCAGTAGCAGCTGGCCTACTCCTAGAGAATGTTAAGACACCATTCTGCATCCAGTATAATTTGCTTACTAACTCGTGATTGCTGGTGACTTAGCTAACATGTGGCTCTCAGCTGAACTCTTACGAATACTGGCAGAGGTGCAAGAAGTTATGTAAACATTTTTACAAACATTCTTCTTCAAAGTTCATACAATAGCTTCGCAATGATGGGGTGGTTTTTTGTATTTCACCTGGAAAAGTCCTAGCCAAGGCCATCTGTAAATTAATTATTTCAGGTTATTCAGAAAGGAGGTGTAGTTAATCTAGAGTATCTCACTGTTATGGTGAAACTAGACTTGTTTCCTTCCATGTGTGAAGATCTTACTTTCAACAGTGCTGCTGAATGCAAAAGCGTTTACGCAGTTCTTAGTCAAGAGTGCTCGGGAACATCATGGGTGTTTTCTATCGCTGAGTTACTTAGAAGGTTTGGTTTCACTTGGTCTAGCAAATGTTAAAGACCATGAACAAATCTTTTCAGCCTTCTCAAAAGGTATAGTGAAATGAAACAGCTGGTTATTCATTCGTCTGTTTTCAGTTCATGGTGACTGTTTACTTGGACAGAATTCACTGTGCATTGACCCAGGTGGATCACTTTGTGTAGTACATATTAAGACTTTGCTACTGAATTAATTCTAACCTTTCAAGCCTCACAGCTGTCATAGTAGCAGTATTTTGCACGCTTGAAGGTGGACATTATAAGCAATCAGTGCTGCTGTTTGTGAAACACGATACTTCTGCCATAGCCATAAACTAATGAAGACATTTTTCTTTAGGAAATTCAACAAGAAACTGATATCCCTGAAAGAGAACTGGTTAGAGCCCTACAGTCCCTTGCATGTGGTAAACCGACACAACGTGTTCTTACAAAAGAGCCTAAATCAAAAGAAATAGAAAATGGTCATATATTTACAGTGAATGATCAGTTCACATCTAAACTACACAGAGTCAAGATTCAGACGGGTAAGTGAGCTTTATATTCTACTGTCTTGCAGTCCCAAAACTGCCTTAAAATTTCAAATTATCTTTTACAGGATTGATAGCCATACAAGTTAAAGGAAGAGTAATCTATTTTTTTGATGATTGATTGCATCAAAACAAAAATTTAAATACTGACAAAAGTGTGGAAGTCATAGTTAGGCCTTTCACTTTAGAAAATTTGTAATTATCTCTTAAAAGTAAATGTTGACGGAGAAATAAAATTCAAATTAAAGAGTAAAATTAAAAATATGCTACTGATTGATTCAGAAGTAGGAAAACTGCCTCATAAGTTGCTGTACTGCTGTGAAATTGAGTGATGTTTTTATCCTGTGGTACAACAGCCATTTCCAAGTGCCAGGTAACTACAGTGCTTTTAGGCAATTTGTGTTCAACAATACTGCTTCATTAGTTCATCAAAGTGCTAGTTTGTGTTATGCCTAAGTAATGTTGATACCTTTTGTCCAGAAAGCTCTCTGGAAATAAATTCTGGGTTGTAGCATTGCTGTGGATACACTTCATAGAGTGGTTTGGAAGATGAGTTCTTAGTTTTAGTACATCTAAAAATATTTTCTGACTTTGCAGATCTCAGTACATAAAATATACAGCATCACTGGCAAGGTTTTAAGTGCAACATTGGTGATTCACATGCTTTGTTGCACGTAATGTAACTTGTTGGGCTTCTGTGCAGCACACTGTGTCCAGGGACGTAAGCCTGTAAAACCCAGTAGTACCTGCCTACATGACGTTGCACTTGTCCCTCTGCATAAGTGACAGCAAGACTGTCTTCATGTGCATGCAGAGTGCTGGGGTGTCAATACACTTGCCATGTCTGGAGAATTTTTGTGGTGATGTCCAGGTGAGCAGAAGCACAGCAGCCAAATGAGGATGTTGAGAACCCTCTGATCAGGGCCCAAGGCACTTCCCTGCCGTAACTCAAGTAAATTCTGTGACAACTGTTCGAGCTTTAGTGGTGTTCTGCTTTTTCATTTCCACTTCACAAATGTCTGAACAGGGAATACGATTTGAGGTTTACGGTGATTTTAAACCAAGCTTGATGCTTGTGGTTTTATGCTTCTGTCTTACACAGAAGACTTGTTAGGTGTATCTCATCAAAACTGATAAATACTTGGGGCTTTTGAGCAAAGAAGGGCAGGGGGAAAGTGGTATAGCGCTATGGGAGGAGGGCTTGGTTATAATGATACTTGGGTGAAAGGGTGAGAAAGGCTAGAATTAAGGGCAGAAATAAAGCATAAATAAAGAGGAGAACAGAAGGCAAAGAATATAGAGATGGAGGGCATTAAGTTGGACTCTTTCTTCTGATGGATGAACTTCTAAAGTATTGAATTGGTTTGTGAAGTAATTTTTCAATCTTTTTTCTATTTTAATAGATTATTTGCTATGTTGAAGAGAAAACTATTTAATGGGACTGTGGGGTTTGGTGATGCCTGTAAGCAGATTTGAGTACTGTTCAAACTTTAACGTAGCAGTAATTAAATAACAGATTGTTACCTTGTCTGTTGCTATCAAAATATGCCAGAAGGTGTTAATATGTTCTTGTGGCTGCTTTTTACAAAAAAAAAAAAAATTAAGTTTAAGAATGTTAAAACTCAGGAAAATAGAAGTTTATGTCTAGATGAAATAAATAATGAAGGTAACACACAATGGAATTAATTTTGCTAACATACTTTACATTCTCTTTCTTTCCTTTAAGTTGCTGCCAAACAAGGAGAATCTGATCCAGAAAGGAAAGAAACAAGGCAGAAAGTAGATGATGACAGAAAACATGAGATAGAAGCTGCTATAGTTCGGATAATGAAATCTAGAAAGAAGATGCAACACAATGTGCTAGTAGCAGAGGTATACTTGTACACAGTTGTGATATGGGCTTGGGAATTCTTTTTGCTTTTCATGTTAATTCATGAAGGATACAGAGCTCTCTGATTCTCAGGTTGTGACCATGCCACTGTAGAGTACTTTGAATCATACCCAAAAATGAGCAAGCATCTGATGGGGGGCGAGGCGGGGGGGGAACTGTCAGAAGTTTGCAGACTGCTGGCTTCATGGTTGTAGCCAGCCCTGTCTAAATATATTTTTCTGATTAAGAATCCCAACTGACCAAAATAATGATCTTACTTGCCATGTGATTTATATTACTATTTTTGATCTTATGTTTTAGGTAACTCAGCAGCTGAAGGCCCGATTCTTACCAAGTCCAGTTGTTATTAAAAAACGTATTGAAGGACTTATTGAGAGAGAATATTTGGCACGAACACCTGAGGATCGCAAAGTATATACTTACGTAGCATAAAATGCGTTCGGAAAATTTGATTTGTTCTTGGACTATACTCTTCGCATGAACTGGGAAGTTCTTTTAAATCATTAATATTAAGACGACCATCTCTTCTATTAAATTACAATACATGTTCTAGACCATTCAGATCAAGCCTTTTACTCCTTTTGAGAGTTTTCGACATCAATTGATTGAGCTTCAGGCTTTTCAACGTTATCCCTGTAGAGATCATCCTTACAATTCTTTGGGAAAATGTGAATGTGCCGCGTTTGTTTTCAATACTGTATGAAAACAGAAAAATAAAAACAAATTTAGAAAATACAGCTCATTTAAAAAAATAAAATTGTTGGAATTTCATTTCCCCAGATCTTCAGTGTTGATGTAAATGTGTTTTTGTAGTGTTGCTTAGCACTTCACACGTTGTATAAGTTGGGTTTAAAAGAAACCACAACTGATAAGGCAAAATTCCCAGTTATATTGCTCTGCTTCAAATGTTTCTTTAACTAGCCTTGTTTAATTTAAATATTTGGTAATTTTTCGAAGACCCAAGAAGACAACTTGAGCATGTTTCACTCTTCCAGCCACACTCACTGTTCCAACAACATGAATCAGGAGCTTCTGGGGGCTCAGAAAAGACCGTAATAATTTTGTCTTTCCCTTCTGTAATTTGAGTTCTTCTAAATTAAACTCTATATTGATTAGGTTTGTGCTGGTTTCTTTATAGGAAGAAGGAAAGATTTTAGTGTGTATAAACTGTATAATAATTTTTGCTGTTGTACTCACTGCTGATGGTGGATTGTACAGGGCGATGTTTTTATTTGACTAAATGTAGACAAAATAAATTTAAAATAAATGGATTTAGTGTACACAAGCAACTAATTCAAGTGTGTTAGAGTACAGGGTTGACAATCTTTTGGAACTAAATACTGTCCCCTGGGGAAACGTACTGGGATTATATTTTGTTAATAAACATCATAGATGGATCTGTAGCCCCAGGGCTTCCCATCGTAAGTGCATATTTCAGGAGATTAAAGTGAAGCCTGCGTGCGCTATTTGATTTTTAAACACGCAATAAAAAATTGTTACGGTAATGAAATTTTTAGTTCTTACCCTGGAACTTGTTTCTTGTCAGTGTGCTGCAAAAATAGATTAAAAATTGCAGTTTAGTGGCATCATTATTCTCATAGAAGTTTTTTGAAGTGTGCATTGTATGGCAGACTTTTTATTAAACAGTATTGCTGGCATTGCAATGCACATATTATGCAGTTTCTCTGCCAAAGCTATTTGTCTGTTTTAATTCAAAACAATATTTTTTTTTCTTGGTTCACATTACTTTCATCCATAGATATTAAAAAATATAGTTGCAGTGGACTTCCCAATATGTAGAGCTGGAGTTGAAACAAGAGTAAAAACTTGGTTGAGGAGCACTGAGATACTGCCAGAGCCTTTCTTGATTAGCTGTGTTAAACAAATACATGGTGGTGGCGTAGTGTAGCAATGCAACTGGAGAGCATTTTTCATAATGCGTCCCCAGTTTCACCCCTCTCCAGCCTGTTAAGATACAAATCCTGGCTCTTGTTCAATAGTAGGATATTTCTTCTAAAGAGGGGGACTGGAATGGGGGTGATACTTTAGCTTGACTATTCTGAAGCTTTTCTTTAAGAAGCTTTACGTAAGTTTACTGCACACTCCCAACTCAGCCACGCACACCTATTGCTTTTAAGTCATCAGAGGGGAGGTGACCAGGGGGCTTTCCTGTCGTTGTTCGTCAAGAATTTAGCCCCAAAATAAAACAGCTAGGCCATCAGCCATTCTGAAAGTGTATTTGCTGATGGTTATTAAAACACCTGTGTGTCTCTGCACAGCATATGCAAAACTTCAACAGAAATGTAATCCTTGCTTAGCTATGGAGCGATACTAAATACAGGTTGGATGAGATCTGGGTTTTGTTTTGTGTCTTAAGTCATCAGAAGTATCTTCCTCAAAATATAACTTGCATGTATCACTATGAAGACTTTCTTTTATGCATATCTTATTCTTTAGTAGCGTGAATATTGTGATAATTGCATGTTAATGCTTTCCCATGTGCTTTTTGGGAAGAAATGAGCTCATGTCATTTTTCCCTGTGAAGCTTATAGAGAGATTAATGTTGCTGTCCATGACAGGAGGACCTCGTCCTTAGCATTGCGATGGTACTTTTGCTGTGCATCAGCCAAAGTTCTCTACCTCTGGTGGCTTTTGGAAGTGCTGAGCCTGAACATTACATGAACAACTGTATAATGATGTGTTTAAGGGTGGGGTTTTTTGCAAGCTGTGTGGGGAAGAGTGTTTGCTAAAAGAATTAACAGGTGGTGATGGCTACCTTCAGTTACAAATACCAAGGGTATAGCTTCTATTTAAAATTTAATAGAATTTTGAAGTCACTAATTATTGAGGAAGGGACTTTTGCTGAAGTCACCTTTTGGAAATGCGCCCTTTACCATTGGACAGGGAGATCATGATGCTGAGGATTTAAAGATGGAGAATGTGAAAACTAGTCAGAGAGAACAAGACAGCACTAGGACTCTGCTTAAGGTGAGTTTAGGCATGAGCCTTTATGCTGTTTGTGTGCATTAGTGAGTTTCTTTTACAGTCCATGGTAGAATCCTGCTATGGGTTATCTGGTTTCATTTTTGCTTCCTTTCTTAATTCTGACTTAAAACTTATTTGTAACTTTGTTAAAATTTCATCAGTAGGATTGTAGTTAACTTGTATGAGGGTAGTTAGTGTTTGCTTTCTTTACATTAAGGTGCAGTTAAATGCAGTAACGATATAATAAACATGGAGTTTAATTCTTTAGAATTTTTAAAATTAAAGGTGGGTTTTGAGTTTTTTAGCTATTTGAAGATACACCAGCATGTACTTTCCTTGTAGACGAGTTTATTCTGAAGGGTCAAGAGTGCACTTCATTTATCGTCATAACAAATAAGATTATCCTATGTATCCCTCATTTAATTCTTGCTCTTTACAGTATTAGCTGCCTTTACAGCTTTGATTTGCTGGTTTTGTCTCCTAGAATTAATCGGTACAATTTCCCTATTTGCTAGAGAACGAATGAATGTTACGCATGTCTCTGTAAAGTGGACTGAGTCTTGGATGCTAAACTCCTCCTGAATTAAATGTCTCTCCTCGCCCCCTTCCCTCAAGACAAACTTTGCCCTGTCAGCCCTAAAGCCTTCAATGTAGTACTGTCAGTACTTGTTACCTTTGCTCATGAAGAATTGGCAGCTGCTGTAAGATTTACTTTTCTGGACCTATAAAAACAGAAGCATTGCACTAAATATTCTGGATGGCTGAAGTATTTTCATTCACATGTGTTATGATCAAGCTGTACAGTACTTGATAGGTGGTGCATGCATGTGGGTATATATATGTGTGTATATATGGTAATAGAGCCTGTCGTGGTGCATGGTGTAAGGGATAAGCTTGCACAGAGATGTGGTCCCTATTTTGTCAAAAGTAGCAAAACCTGGAACTACCTGTGGCCTCTAGTTTTATGTCCAAAACTGTCCAGAACCATTGTAGCTCAGTGGAAAATTCTTAACTCTGCTTTGTTGATCACGGTGGTTAGAGGCAAGGTGGGCTCTGATCGTTAGCTCCCGGTTCCTCAGAGTCCCTGTGGCTCAGAGCAAGGATTTGACAGCCTAGAACTAGGCTACAGCGGTGTGTAGAGCTGGTAAGAGGCATCATCTTGTTAGTGTCCGTACTGAAATCCAATTTCTGTTAATACTCGTTTTGATATATTGGGTAGTAAATGAAATAACCAATGTGCTCCAGTCTGAGGCATGAGTTTAATGACTTTTCTGTCTTCTGGAATGTCGTGTGAAAAATTTGTAACATGCAGAGCTTTATAGATATCCAGCTGAAAGCTGGATAAAAGAACAGGAGAACAATTCACCTAACTTTCCTTCAGTATGTAGGGAAGTGTTTCATAGTGTGCCCACAAACTAGACTGAATGTTCTGAATCTTCCAGCTGTATCTGTGTTTTAACTCTGTATCTGGCACGACAAAAGTCAGTGTTACTGTAGAAATGTAAAGGTGCTGTTTTAAATGAAAATGGTGGTACACCTTTAACAAACAGCTGTGATAAACAGGCAGTGCACCACAACACCCACATCAGTGCAGCCTGGCTGACATTTTGTGGTATCCTTCAGAGCAGCAGGTCTCCCCAGATGCACTGCAGTTCATATGTTTGGTGCAGACGTGACCAGACCTCTCACTGCGGGAAGGTGCTGCTGTGTTGGCATTACTGAATGTTGAGTTTATAACACAGCTTCACTTCTGTCAGGGTCTTGCTCTTCATTTCTCCTCTCAAACTGGAACTTTGATAGTAAATGAGTCCATGGGAACTAATATCGTTGAGATGAACATGAAGTTTATGGATAGGAAAAGAAATGACATTTCTTTTCTGAACTTACAGCAGTGGTGTTTTATTAATTATTCCTTCTCCTGCAGTTCAAAATTTGGCTTTCTTTTCAGGTACAACAGACACTGAGGAACCCTCCAGTCTCAGTGACTGCTATTCAGTTTCTCCTCTTGGAACAACGTATCGCTGTGGTTCACTTAGTTTATATGCATTATCCTTCAAATGCTGGCAAAGCATTGACGTTTGACCTGTTGGAAACTGAAGCTAAAGCAAAGGTGATGCAGTGTGTTGTGCACACTCAGGAAAGGTTTGGGCAGTGGAGCAACGTGGGTTGCAGCGAGGGGCTGTTCTGGTCTCATGCAGTGTCTGCTGTCATGCAGGGAGGAAGGTGCATCTGTGGGGAGAGCAAGGGAGATGTGTGGAGCAAGACTTATTCTGAGATTGTGGTGAGCATTGTGGGGCGCATGGTGGTTAAACCTTGTGCAAAATATGGGTTTAGTAACTTGCATCTGTCACGTACTAAGATGGTAAGCTGTGCTGGTAGCTTTCTGGCGTCCTGGATGACTTCCAGCAAGAAGTAAGTATTACTAGGGATTCCTTTTAAACTAAACGGCAGAGTCTGCGGTACAAAACCACTTAGAACATCAGAAGTTGACACTGATAGCACTAACGATGTAACCAAGATTCTGCCTGTGCTCTCCATCTTCTCACAGATAGTGAAACAGGCAGGGTCTGGAGGGTGGCCCGAGGGCGCTGCTGTGAAGCCACACAGCCCTGCTGAGTACTGGGGAGCAGCAGCTGCCAGTGCGGCCAAGTGTGTCCCCCCAGGAGGGGCTGATCCAAAGCACTCTTCAATGTGCTTTCCTTTTTTCTCTTCTTCCCCCAAAAAAAACTTTTCCTTGCCCTGAACAAAGCTTCATTAAACATCCAGTAACGTCCAACAAGCTGCTGCTACAGTT